TCCAGACTCCGCCTCCAATGCCCGGCTTTCAGTGAAAAACGAGATTGCAGGACGAAAAAGCATGAAAATCGTCACTTGTACGATCGTAGAGTTCTTATCGGTGAATCAGCTGTGCGTATGAGGGCGTAGTGTGGGAGATAGAGTTAATTGGGCACGTACAAACTGGGATCAAAATGGGGTTCTATCTAGGGCAGGTGGCATGTTTTTGTGCTTTTTTCTTCACTGTCGAGTTACTCAACCCCTTGTCGTCTATATGGAACCCCCTAATCCACTATCTGAGATGGCGAGTAATCGCGGATTCTGCCTTTAATCAACCTTTGCGGCTTCGCGGGTTCAGTGTGTGATGGGGAAGGGGCTGGCGCTATGCCAAAACCCATGCCACTCTGACACGCTTCGACTGACTTCAGTGATAACGTGTAGCAGTGGTGTTATCACAAAAGTGCTGAGTTATAGGCGAAATCCTGACCCAAAAGGGACTCGAACCCCCACCTCACACTTTCCGGAGTGCCTTAGTGCCTGGTCCGTTAGCCAACAAGGCAGCCTCCCACAATTTCAGGTCAACGGCTTTTGTACCATAGCATTACCTGCACCTCACCATACCTAAAGTTGCCATAACAAACTGCAGGTAAGATAACTCGCAACAACGGGTAGCGAACTCGCACGAAGGGCATAAAGTGCGGATTCAAGTCCCGCCTGCGCCAAAACTTTCGCCCATAGGTCAGCATTCTTGTGACAATATTCGATCCTATTATATATCCGCTAATTATATTTTATAATTATTATATATGTGCGTGCGTGCGTGTCACGAAGATCGGGTTACAGTAACAGCAAGAAATTGGTTTAAGATGTGATATAGGGGATGGGACAAGAACATCATTGGTGGGTGACAAGAACTGTTAGTAGCTGATAACACTTGATAAGGATCACTGGGAGGGAAGGTCGCAAATTTCATAACGCGGATCACAGCACCCTAGACGTAGGTTCTGACAAGTGATGTAGAGGGTGAGATGGGGACGTCGACGGTAGGTGATAGGAAGAATAACATTTGATAGGGACTGATAAGGGAACGTTGTGCTACTCATTGTTGTTAAAGGGTGGGGTTGACCGTTCAAAATTATTAAAGAATCAGTGATAGCGGACAATAGAAGACGGGTGACAGTTAATCATATCAATGGTACAAAAAATAAGAGGCCATTTCCTACACTTCTAACTACTACACTACCAAGTATTAGAGGACGAGATTTGCTACCTAGTTGGCTTCGGCTGCTTTTATACTTTGCGGCAACAACCACTACTTCGCCAGCCACTCTGGCTAACCTGCGACGTAATTCCCAAATACTCTCTACTCCTGGCGCCGGTATGCGCTTGCCAACGCGAGATTGATATCCATATTTTCCTGCAGTCGCTCGAGGTGGTGGACGCTGCCGCTCGCTGGCATGCGATATCTGTAAGCTCTCCCACTGCAATGACGCTGATGGACGCTCGAAACGCTCAAGGTAGTTGGTGGACGCTGCCGCAAAGTATGAACGCAGCCTAAGCGTGGGTCGGTGCCAAAGGCGGAAATTTTCGCACCTGTTATGACAGCCGGGACACTCAGACTATCTGGCGATAGTTATCTTGGTAGTATTGATCGGGCAAGTGAAAAGTATTGGAATCGGTTAAGAACTTCTTTCCCGAATCTCTCCTCTTCGCATTTTTGGAATCACGTTCTTTCTGAAATCAGTTGTGCAAAAAATGAACACTTTAAGAGTCGCAGTTTTTATTTACAAAAAAGATACTATTATGAAGTGCAGCCAGTTATTTACAACATGAAGGGAAGGCTATTCAGGGCAAATGTCGATAAGATTGGATAGAAAGGAAGGAAGACTAGAGAAGAAATGAATCGGTTTCTATTTTGAAGTTCTGCAAGATTTATCCACCGCTAATAAGAGATCATTCAGGGAAATAGCTACAGTTACCATCCCTGGAAATGGGAGGGCGTGTGAGGGGCGTCGATTGGAGCGCAGCCAGGGCGGACTTTTCCACCAATTGAGGGCGTTTGACCCGCAACAATTGGTGGAAAAATTTGTCCTGGCTGCGCTCCAATTCACGCCCCTTTACACGCCCTCTCGTTTGCAGGGGTAATAACTGCACATATTTCACCGGCCATTTCTCACCGAGCTCAGGACAAATCCACCGGATTTCAGACCAGATTCCAATCATCACATCAATGATCTCACTTGAATTCAACACCAACAAAATCATCACATTTGGACGAGAAAAGTCCCCTCGTCCAGGGATCACAGAGAGTCATATCTCTACAAGGGAACGAGACTGAGCAAAAGATTTTCCACGAGAAAAAAACGCATCTATGAACAAATATATAAACAAACAAAAAAAACAAAGAGAGCCATAGGCGCTCAAAAGCAATCACAATACCCATAATGTTAATAAAAAAAGGCCATAGAATGATACTAAATGAATTGCAATAGCTACCTATTCTTGAAAAACCTTTTGATATCTTCCGTTAGCAGGAAAATTACCGGTAGTAATAGTAGAGCATGGAACATGCCTAGAATTCCTACTAATAGAACCGTTTTCCAGAAAACTGCTACGACGTAGGCTCGAACAAACATCAGCGGTAACATGCCTGAAATTTACTTTATAACTAAAGCACTAGTCGTTGATCTATCGATATATTGATTCAAACAGTTCTTTACAACATTCCCAGAATAGCAAAGGTAGTTCTCAATCGGACTTAAAGGCATAGTCCACGCTGATCGTATCAGGCCTATAATTTCGCCTTCTTCTTTCCTTAGGACGGCAAATACGCTCGCCAACTAAAAGGCACAATCGCAAATCGGAGCTCTCTAGCGAAAGAAGCACGATCGCAGGCCCAGCTCCGCCCACATGATCAGCATGGACGACCCCCTTATTGAAGACAAACGGGAATCGTTCGATGCATCCATTAAACCTGGTAATCGTTTTCCGCTTTTCATTCAAATTTGACCTTTCCCCTCTATATTTGTCCCTGGTCCAATTTCATGTTCGGGAGCAACGATTATAACCAGTCTATGTGAACTCTACAATAATGAGTTGCACTTCATTTCAGCAGACCCCCTATAGTTTTGGTTTTCTAAAAATTTGGCGCAGAAACCAGATTTCTAAATTGGCTTTCTTTACTGCCCATAATCATATTGCCAATCAGAATTATACTGCCCGGGGAATGAGGTTGTCCAAAAATAAGGCGCGCAAGGTTGCATGTTATTTGGCCATGTTATTTTGGTCAGACCTGGCTAGAGAACCGGTTTTCATTTGAGAGACAAACTGACTTTTCATCACATTTCTCAAGAGTGGTCCAGGAATTGTCCTCGCACAAACCTGTGGCAGGCGAAGTCATACGGGGGTCTGCTGAGCGGTACAGGCCGTAACAGGTTGTCTTTTGACTCATTCGCCACTCTTCCTCATATCACCTCTATCAGTGGAAAAGCATCGCGCACCAATGAGAAAGCGGTTATCGCGTTGGCCTCACCCCGCCCATGAGACTATAGTTGCGACAATTCCTTTTCGAATCAAAAACTGGCAAAGCAGGGGTACGCGTTATCCCCTGGAGGCCGCCCGGCGTCTTTTAAGTGCAAGAAAATGTCCTAATCAGAAGTGGCATAGAGCCCTACCTTTGTTTCCCTCAAGGGAAGGGGTGGTTAGTGGTAGTTAGGTCAGAAGGCCGTCCAATCTGGTATTCTTATACCTTTCTACTCCATTCAGTGGTATACCAGTCACTGCTTGATTCCAAAAATAAATCTTATCTTTTTCTATTTCTGGAAAAATACTCACCGATTATAGTGCTCAAGCCACTCTGTACTACTGGCCATCCGACACCATGGAATGTGGCCAGCAGCCTCTTCACCGATTCCTCTTTCGATGACTTCTTCAACGGTTTATTGATCGATTGATTACTACCGCTGCTACCGGACTCGATCGAATCCGACTCGTCCTGCAAACGGAAGGCATTTGTTACAAGTAAAGTATCTGGAGTAAAGGAGGAAGTTGGGGAGAGCGAGGGAGGAGTGTTGCCTTTTTTGCAAAAATTTTCCCCAACCCTCTCCAAGGGCAGAGTGCGCTTTTTGGATACAATAAATAATAAAAAATGCGTCTCCAAAAAGAATCGATATATCGATCGTAAGGGACCGTACCTTCTGATTGCGTTCTTCTTCAGCAGCGTGGGCGAAGTAATGATAGCAGACGTGAGCAGAGTAGTCAACAGAGAATCCGACCGACATCAGAATACTAATTAAAGAAACAGCGTCCAGACAGACACCCCACAAGTGCAGATAAGCGACGATACCTGAAAATAGTCGAAATTAGAAGTCGATTATTGATTACCATTGAGGGTTCAAAGGTTCTGATCCGTCAACATACCTAAGCAAATGGAAACGATCGACACAACCACGGAGATAATCGCCTCCCAATTCATAACGAATAGAAGTACCAGTATGGACATCAAGATGATAGCAGATACTGAAATGACAAAAATCAATCAATATCATATGGTCGGCAGAAATTTTGTATACCGAAGTTCGGCTTGGTGGGGGCACTGAATGGTACTCAGTTGAGCTTTTACATGCCACCTTGTGAAGGCCTGTGAATTCCTGTTACGAAAGTGGCTCACACGTACCGTTTTGCGATATCACAGGTGTAACAGGTCTCACCAAAGTGGGACCTATTATTTACCATGTACTAAGAAAAGGCTTGCGAAAGTGCAAATGCCCCTTCCAAGCCAAACAGTGTCATATTCAATTGCACTTCAATGAGGTTCTACGTACCTGCAGTCTGCAGGAAGTTCTTAGGAGCACTGGCAGCGCTTTCAGTTGGCACCTTCTCGAACGGATGATGAGACATCACATGGAAAGATGGGTAGGTGGCGAGGAGATTGCGTCTAAACAAATAATTTCAAAAATTTTTGAAAAAAAAGTCGTATCAAAATTTAAGAGAGAGAGAGAGAGAGAGTGAAGGTCGTTTCACGCCGAGAGGTAAAGCCGCTGTTAGGTGGTGCGGGAGGGAGAGCAGGTTTGTCGAGACTCTCTTGCCGTGTGCTACTAGCCCACCGCTGGAAACGGAAGGAGCCCGGGCAATACCATCCCCTGACACAAGTCTCAGGCATCTCTTCCGAAACGGCTGTGTGTAGAAGCCGATTATTAGACTTTATTGCAGACATCTTTGCCGTTGACGCCCTTTTTACACTGTAGAGTTGGGAGCCAAGCGCCACGCCTGGTCCGTAAGGGCCGGGAGCGACGAGTCAAACCAGGCCCCTGTACATTTTGACGGCGCATCGCTCACCTTCCATCAAACAGGAAGTTGCATCAGATCACAGTAGACGAGTGTGGGGCCCTTTTACCACATTGACTAATACTAAAACACAAAACTGATCCGGCCTTCAACCCAGAAATTTTTGAACAGCACGGCCTCACCCCCCCCCCCCTCCCCCCTAATGCCACATTGCAAAAAGAGACTGAATTTTATTGAGACTTCCCGCTGAACTCTTGATAAGTTTTCCCCGAAGAGTTCAGACACACTAAAAACTAACCGCATTCGCCTAGAATTCCTTTAACTTCAAGAATGCAATCATGTTTGTGCGTAATCGATCATTGACGTAAAAACATCATTAACCCTCTCACCACCATCTTTATTTTTCCTATAATTACATGAATAGGTATTTCAAAGAGTGCAGAAATTTGACAGTTCAAAAATCGTAAGGGACAAAAGAGTGACAGAAAAAAGAAAAAGAGGAAGAAAAAAGGAAGTGGAAAGTGAAAAGAAGTCTTCAGGCAGGTGATAGGAAAACCCTGTAAGGACTTGAAAAGAGAAGAAATGTCACCCCACGAGTGGTTTTTGAATCGATGTAGGCCCATACGATGACTTGCTGGGGGGTTAGCCAAACGTACAAGTCAGCTGTTCTATCCCCCCCAGAACCTTGTCACAATTCACCGATCCTCCCTGAGAGTAAAAGGCTGTGTGTTGGCCTGAGCGGGAAACGGACCCAGGACTTGAGCCCAGGACTGCGCGAGTGGACGCGCGTACTCGTCACATGCACCAACCTCCTCCCCAAATAAATATAACTCTGGAATACTCAATGAGGACCGCACTGAATACTGAGGCCAGGGGTTTGGTCGGGGGGACGTTTAGAATGCTCTTCAGAAATTCAGGATAAGGTAGTCTTCTCAAGACTGCTGCCACTTTTTAGAGAATTGGGGACATGTGACGGCGGGACGGAAGACTGTCAAAGATGAACGCAATAAAATTGAAGAAGAAAAAAAGGACATGAAATGTGTTTGCGAAGCAATAAAATAGTCCGAAGAATTGAGAAGCAGAATCAGCCTTACTTGGTGAGAATGTATTTTTCTTCCATTCCATAGTCACGATAATTCTTTAGGAGAACCTCTGGTGACCAGTGGTCTTCTTCCTCCTCCCAGAATTGAATTGTCTAAAATCAGAAGAGTTATGAAAATTATATTTCGACACCATTTTTTGACAGCTGGTTTTCTGACTGCTGGATGAGAATCGGTGAAAGCAATGTTCTTAGGCGCGCCTATGTGTCTCAAGACGGTCAGTTTCCAGCGAAGCTAATTACAAGCTACATGTTGAGAGGGTGCACATCGCTCGTCTACTCGTCTGTAGCTTCTGACCGGACAGCACGACGCGACTTAGCCCTATTAGAGAGAGTTCTCCAAAAGCATGAAGGGCTCAACAGTTAGTTTCAGTTATATATCTCAAAAGAAATCACTGTTATTGTAGTCTCTGCAGCAAGACAGTCGCTTCTGCGTCCCAGCCCGTACTTTGGCAAGAGTCTTCCAGTTTGTGACCATTTCTGTTATAGCGCTCTCAGGGTCCTTTTCGTCAGAAAAAATCGGGCATTGTTTTTACGCGAAGCTCTCACGTACGAACGTTCACGAAGAACGAAATCCTGAAAAGTTTCGGTAGTGAAAGCTGCATGGAAACTTTTGCTTACGCTCAACTTAAGCTGGCACATTCCGTGCCAAAATTACGGCAGAGCGCACGGCACGTCACTGAGTAAGGCTCACAAATAGTCTCTGACCCCGCCCTTACGACCTTCGTGGACTGTGCCTTCGAGTCATACAGCGAGGAAATATAAAATGAAACAACTATGCACAGAATTATAAGACTACCTGCATTTGCCGTGAATGTCCGTAAGAGGTGATCCTTCCAGATAGAGATTTTCCATGTTAAAGTCGGTGCTCACTTCAGTGGCCAGGTAAGTGCTTACCTGGAAAACATCAAAGTGAGTCGGGATTTTGTCGTGTTTTGATCTACTTTTCGTGGTTACTACACTATCTACTAGAGAACTTTAGGTCATAAAGAAAAAGAGTGGTAAGTAGAAACCAGTAGTTTTCAGGAAAACAAGTCTTACCCCAACGTGGACGAAGAAGATCAGCATGACCAATGTTTTAGCGGTTTTCGTTTGAAGAAAATCGACAAAGATCTCAAGACGGCTCTTCTTGCGCTTAATCTCCTGTGGTGGTGCGGTGAATGAGGGAAGCATAATCGAAAATACCATCGTTTCACCGAATTTCGCTTTTGTACTGTCACCTATTGAATTCATTGATGGGTTTCCGTCCTGAAATCAATCAGTATTTGAAAAATCAATATTCACTACTATTTGAAGTTTATATCCTTCAGACTTTAGTAGACTTAACACCTCTGTAATCTTGATCGCTTCCCAGTGTACGCACAGAGATTGTAGGAGGGGCTTTAAAGCACACGCATCAATGGAGGAAGTAGGTGGGGCAGTTGAAAAGCTTCCTCACTATGGAAAAGACTCACGCACACCATTCTGGGTCTAAATTATATAAGGGATTCCAGAACAAGGACCGATCCGTCCACCGCACCTAAACAGCGCCACCACCCCATTTCAAGTTAATTACATCCTGATTGTGTGGACGAATGGACGGACAGAGCCGCCGTTGCTCCTGCTCCCTCTTCTACGCCTCCTCAAACAACTGCGATGGAGCAGGAGCATGTGCTTTTGAATGACTAAGCCAATTCTCTGAAACCATTTAGCATGATCCTACGAACCCGCAGAACCTCTGTACCACCTCAGGTCAGCAAAAAATGGGGGTATCTCCGCCCACGCGATTAACGTGGACTTTGCCCCTCAGCTCCACAACAATGGTGACCTTTCATGTAGGATACAGCCCTAACATTGTTCGAACTGATCTATTTGTAGCACATTTACGGCAAGTCATTTGAATGGTCAATAAATACAAAAGATCTGGTCAATATTCTGGGCACGGAATTATTTACCCTTTACTGCCCCAATCTTACGAAAACAGGCCAGTTTTCAACCGACTTTTTACTGCGTTGGCAGAATTGGCTAAAAATTTGTTCCCTGGGGTATTTTGACCTCCTGAACATGAATATCACATCCGCTCGGCACGAAAC